GCGTGGGGAGCATTCAAGAATATCGAGGGAGTAGTGAAGAAGACAAAGAACATCCGGCTCCGCGCTCACCTTTTCGACACTGCTGTCCTTCCTGCTTTGACGTACGCCTCGGAGACCTGGACTCTACGAAAGCAGGATGAGCATGCTGTCAGCGTTACTCAACGCGCTTTGGAAAGGACGATGCTCGGAATTTCCCTATACACGCAAGTGCAGAAGGGAATCCGGAGTTCCGAGCTCCGTCACCGAACGAAGATCAGGGATGCCGTTGATTACGCCAAGATATTGAAGATCAGGTGGGCCGGACACATGCGATATAGTGATGACCGTTGGACCAGGGCGGTTACTGACTGGATCCCTCGGGACATCAAACGAACTCCAGGAAGGCCGCCAACGAGATGGTCAGACTTCTTCACGAAAGCTCTGAACGAAAGGAATGTTGAACCTCGTGTCCCTGAAGCGAGAACGATTCACTGGACCACTCTGGCTCGTGACAGGGACGAATGGAGACGTTACTGGCGCCCGCTCGAGGAAATCGATAATCAACGGGACGACAGGTGATACAGGTGATACAGGTGAATTGTTAACAATACACCCGCGCGTGCGACATCTGATGCTCTGTGTAATCATCTACCGCGATGTTTGCGATAGCTTCTCTGAAGTGTATTGTTTTTCTTCGAACACAGGCTGTTTCAAACAAACGACGGGGTTGGCTTTTCCAAGGCACAGGGCCCATAAATCGTGCAAGCTGCAGCAGTGGCATAAATTCTTGGTTTTGCCACTGCATTAGATATGAAAACCCTCACAGTGCATCCACTTCAGTAGTTGCATTTCTCAGTCTGACCTATCAGCTAACTTCGATCATACACAGTGTTGAAGTCCTCCTTCCTACCACTCCACCACATTGATGCGAGCCGAATATGTTCCTTTCAAATGGATTTGGGGATAGAGGCTGCAACTCGATGTAGAGCAGCAAGCGACAGTGTTTGGCCAACCAGCGGTCGTTTGCCCACTACTTGGCTAGTGAGATACACACTGTAGTGAGTGTTTTTGCACGCTGATCCCAAATTCATTTCCAAATCTGTCTAAAGGTTCTTGTAACTATGATGATGATGTTCCTACCACTGCGTTATCTCACTGTACCACATACCGAACAACCGGTCTGAGCAGCTATGCTGGTGTGCAACGGTGGCGCATTAGGTAGGGATAACAGGACTAATAGACATGTCGTAAAGGCCCGAACTCCTAAAACAGGGAGCTAGTTTTGTTTTCTAATGGAATGTGTCCTACACTTGCAAAACTTTTCTACTATTCATGTTGATTATCTGCGGAGCCCTCCCTCTCACATCTGAGGGTTAGTAAAATTGTATTCGAAAAATCTGTCGGAGGACTTTGGCACCCGTGATATAAAATGAGCACGTCTTGGAAGAAATGGAAGGTAATAAAGAGCCCCACTGTACCCCTGATAATATGTAGGACTACTTCGTTACTACTGCAAGGATGACGAGTCCGTGGTAGTTGATCACAACGATCCTCTCTAGTGGCCTAATCTTATGAACAACGGCGGATCAAGCTTAAATTTTATGGGGAACGTAGAAAATTCACAGCCTATAGAGTTCATGAGAATCGAGTTTTGTTTCATCACGACCGAATTTTCCTAAAATTATGATGTTCTACGTGGTGGTAGCTGTTAGGTGCAAAACGAACGGTTCGACCTGTCGATAGATNATTCGAAAAGTTAAAAGAGGAACCATTCTAAGATCATATAAGAATCTTATAGCATGGCAGCGGTTTCCGCTGGATGACGTGAACATCAGTAATGAAGGCTCCGAAGAAGATAATTGAAAAGCTAAGTAAGTGGATTAGAGTCTCCACAGTTTAGTCCTTGTATCAAGTCCTACAATTTTTCCCAGAAGTTCCAGTTCACTATCACCACCATTAATCACAATATTTAACAAGTAATAAATAATCATTTGCGTACATAAACTGATAACCTATAGTACGATAGTATTTCTTTGAAGATATCAGTCTCCTTGTACCATCGGTTCGGACGGTGATAGTATTTCTCGAAATTGTGCACAGCAGTTCCTCCAGAGTGACTCTGATCAAATGAGTCATTTCACCACCCACTCAAAGAAAACCATATCTGGGTTGTCATTGCCCGAGTATTGCAGATGTGAGGGAAGGTAGTAGATAGTCAATATGAAGCGTACAAACTTTTGTAAGCGTTTAGACTACAGCTCGTAAAAAGCAAAACAAGCGTGTGTATAATGGGCTCGCTCCCTCCCAGCCATTGTATTATCACTTCTGGATTCATGGTACACACCATACACGGTAACTCGCAGTTCCTCGAGACCTCTCATTTGCGATGGAGGTGGAAGTCATTTGCTGGGCAGTCCCATAATGAAATGGAACACATCACCTTCAATCGAAGGTTTAGCCTGACTGACGTCGCTGTTGTTCCAAAGTTCAGAAGTCCGTCATCTCCTCCGCGCTAGATTCTGTTTCTCAGTGCATGGAGAGAGCGCTATAAAATTGAAGAAACGAAGCCCAAAGACTCTCAAGTGGAACCACTTCGCTACCCCCGCGACTGAACAGGAAGACTCTGTTATCGACAACATCGATGAAAGATACAACCGACGGGTCGAACAACTTCACGATAGTGCTAGAAAAGCACAGTCTATAAGTTGCTAGGAATGACTCTCCCCGAAGTTCATCGACCTGATACGCCACCGTGGAGACGCGCTGCAGGCAATCGTCATCAAACGTCCGAACTTGCCAAACTATGCGGAGAAGCTGTGAAGGAAGATCTGAATGAGAGAAGAGCAGCAGTTATGGACGAGCCCGCCCAGGCCAGAAAGTTCATTCGCAAAGCCAGACGGAGCTTCCCCACTTGCAAGACAAGGATGACTTTCCTTCGTCGTCCTGACGGAACAGTTACAGCATCTAGAAGAGCATTGGAGAAGGTCATCTACGACTTCTACTCGGCCCTCTCCAACAATCACGTCCAACTGCCTGCCTAATATCTTAGACCAGTCGAATATATCGCCACCTTCGATTCTCCCTCCCGAAATTCGGAATACCATCAAGTCGATGAGGATTGTGCGGCGCCCGGTCCCGATAGGATCAAACCAGAACATCTAAAGAGTCTTCCACCAGCTATCGGCAGAACTCTGGTTAGGCTCTTCACGCGGTTACTTAAGGAATGCAAAGTGGCTACGTCCCACAAAGTTAGCAAAACTGTGTTGCTGTACGGGAAGGGGGATCCCGGGTAAAGAGGAGCTGATATAGCATAAAGAGGGTGGATATGTGTTAGTAGTATAGCCGCCTCCTTATGAGGTGATGAACTAGTTCCGAATATAGACCAGCGAAACTGCACTACAATCGTACAAACGATTAACTTGATCTGCCTGCCACGCGTTTAAGTTACAGAGGAATGAACCTTATTATGTCAAGTCACAAACAGGTAAGCTCACGATCTTTATATACCTGAGCGTATACGAAGGTACCAC